TATCAAACGCTACTACATGTGCCATATCCAGATATCGGAGTGATTATCGATTCCCTCCAATCTCTCAAACTTGAGATGAAGATGATATGATCCTCATCCTACACCTTTGTGGATGTTGTTTCCCAGCTGTGAGGGTTTTGGACATAGTTGACATATCCGTACAGGCAGTCATACCCTAACCACTGTATATCTAGGGGTACATTCATTGTTTACCCACTTTTATACCATTCCACTCATATCTGACGTGTATTTCATGTATGGGCAAAGAGTATATCTGGTTCAGAAATGGTGCGGTTCCCCTCATCAGATCTTTGGGTCTGATTCTCTCATTTCCAAGGGTTTCCTTCAGATACTTTCAAAAGATGATTCTGTCATTCCCTCGCACTGGTCTCTCCTCCTATTTGGTGTGGGATTCTAGCTAGTCTTGTGAGCAGAGGGAATTCCCTCTACTCAAACTTCCTACCCTTCCTCCTCACTGAAAACCAGTGCTTGCATATTCTGCCAAACTCGAAGTGATAGTTTGGTGGAAGAGTATAGAGGTAGTCACATGACTACGTCACACTCCATTGGTGGAGAAGTGACGCATGATGATTTGCATGACAGACTTGTTGGAATTACTAGATTCCAATAGAGGGAGCAGAAGGCTTATGGCATGCATTCAAAAATGTTTGCATATACAGGGCAGCACTGAACGAAAATAGCTAATCTTGTGAGAGGAGGGAATTGCCCATCAGAAATACATTTTCAGTTTAGGAAAATGTTAACTTTTGTGGGTCTGTTAGTTCATTATTGATAAGTACTTTAACTCGGTATGTTTAGATTGTGAGTTAAAAATCATTACTACTAGTAACATCTAATTCATTCTGTTTGAGTGTTTTTTTTTGTCATTGGTAACTATGTGTCTTATCATCCTAATTTTCATCAGTGTAGGACTTAATTATGTGTTCTTTGTCATCTAGGTTAGTTTAAAGGATTTGTAAGTTAGATATTGATTATTAATGTGTTTTCTATGTAATTTTCATTGGTTTGCACATTCATTATTATTACATATTTTGTGTACAAGATAAATTTAGGTGGTTTGTCTGTTGAATATTTATAAGTACTTTTACTAGGTATGTTTAAACAGTTTGTACGTTACTACTAATAATATGTAATTCATTGTTCTATCTGCATAATTTTTTTTTTTAATTATTAACTATGTTTCTTATCATCCTAATTTTCATCAATGTAGGACTTAAATTTTTTTTATCATTGTTACATCTCTGATATGTTCTTATCTTTCCCATTCGTAGGCTGAGCTATGCTTTGGCTCATTTTCTTACGTTTATGATACTCAATAACCTCATTTTATCCTCATATTCTACAATATGGCATTCTTCTCCACAGTGCCCACTTTGTCTGTAGTTATTTATTGCTTTAAGTCGAGTTTTACAGTTCAGGTTCCTACTGTTCAGACTAAACTAAGTTCTTTAAGTGTTTTGTCGGGGGATAAAACTCATGCCCAACATCTTCACTTTATGGGTCTTTGAACTCCAACTGTGGATGACTGGCTTCTGCTTGTTTCTTCCCATTCACAGTCCAGAGACCACACTACTCTGCTCCTACTGGATGCAGAACAGGTAGGATTCTTGATGACTGTGGGGAAGTCTGTTCTTACCCCTTCTCAAACCTCATTCATGTTCAATTGGAGGTTTTTTGTTTTTTCTCCAACCTCAGTTAGGCCCAGCCTAATCCTCTTTTTCTTTGGGTTTGATGCAAACAGTTCACATTTCTTACAGCTCAAGATGTTCTATATCTTTGGGGATGTGGGCTTCCTTGGAGGTTCTCATTCCCATTGATCAGGCTCATATGCGTTCCCTTTGGTAGATCAGTGAAACTTCTCCTCAGATCCCTGACTTGGTGGTTAGACAGAAACCAGACCATGGTGGGTGTGCCAAAAGTGCCACATGTGGATGTGCATTGTCGTGGAGAAGAACACCACCTTTCCAATTGATGAGTGAAGGGCTTGATTTAAACGTTCCAGTTGCTGACTATAGATCTCTTTATTGACAGTTTGCTGTGGATTGAGAACTTCGAAATGAATTACTCCTTTGATGTCCCATCAAATTTAAAGCATCACTTTCTGCAGATGAAGTCCAGGTTTTGGGGTCGGAAGTGTTTTTTATCTAGGACTGAGCCATTGTTTTTGGTGTTTGATATTCGCATAAAGAATCCATTTTTCATCACCGGTAACAATTCTGTCCAAAAATGGTTCACGTGCATTACATGCCAGAAAAGACCAAGAAACATTCACATGTTGGAAACAATGATTATCAGAGAGTTTGTGAGGCACCCAAACACTTTCTTTAAGAACTTTTCCCATATCAATTAGATGTTTACATATTGTCTCATGAGAGACATGCAATTTCAGAGCCATTTCACAAGTGTGTTGCCTTGAGTTAGACTCAACAAGCGTCTTCAGAGCATCATTATCAATTCCAGCATGTCGGCCCCTGCCATCACAGTTTTTAAGGCTAACCTCACCTGAACGAAATTTGTTGAAGCATTGTTGACACTGACGAACATCCAAAACATTTCCATAAACTTCTTTGATATTCTTTGTGGTTACAGAGGCGTTGTTTTCTCTCTTGTATTCAAACAGCATTACATGCCAAATGTATCACATTGTGTGCCATCACTAAAGGGATTAGAGTATACTAAACTTTACTGATTATATAGGCTACACTAACGTGACGTTTATGTGACTTGTTTAACTATTATACGTGATGTACGTTTTTTGGGAGGTAGTTAATGAAAGTGTTCCAAAACACAACATTAAATTCTTGAGGACATTATATATATATATATATATATATATATATGTATATCAGTGAACCATCACTCATGGACTTCATAAGTAATGCAGAAGGGAATTTCTGTCCATCGCTGACCCTGTGATTCAATAAATTGGGGTCCGGTCACTCTGCTTTATGAAATAGGGAATCGTGGACACTCATTGCACTCTCTTCGGTGTGACATTCCTCCAGACTCTCTACCACGTTTGCTTCCCCCTTTTTTGTTCCAATGGAGCACGGGAGTCCTTACCACTTTCCAATCGCTAGAGTGGTGGACCATGGAGGCTTCCTCCTGAGTGAGTTTAGAAATTTATCTTACCATACATACTCATGATTATCACCTCAGTGAGAAGAGGGCAAAGCTGGTTTCCCTTCTTCCATTTCCCCTAGATGCTTTTTCTCAGGTGGACAGCTGTCAAAAGAAAAAGAAAATAGGTTAGAGCAGGTTCAGCCTATGCAGGATCTTCCTTGTAATACCAGGTTTGGGATGACACTGTCCTATTCCTATGGTTGTGTGAAGTAGAGGCCCCTCTTGTTAATTCAGGTTGAAGTATGTCCTTCCCTGCTCCTATGGTTGAGTTTGGGGGAATCCAATCTGCCTCATAATAGCAGCTACAGGATATATGTAAACTGTTCCTGTGGTTGAGTAAATGTTCCATGTTCTCCTCTTAATTCCGGATGCTGGATGTCTCTTCCCTGCATTAACGGTTGAGTGATTTATGATTTCTGCTCATGATACCAGTTACAGATATTACCTCCTTCTTATGATTAAGTTGTTTTGAAAATTTTTTCAGTTTTGGCCAAAAGCTAACTTCCTCTTTGTAATTCTGGTTATTTGACATATGACATTCTGTTTACTTATGGTTAGGGTTGATGAATATATATATATATATATAAGATGGTCCAGTGCCCTAGCCACTATGTTTATATTGCCATATATTTCATTATGTTCAGTATTTTTTTATCCTCAAGTTCCTAATGCTGAGGACAAGTTAGGAAACCTCATCTGTCCAGTTGAGATTCTGTATGTACCTAGCTAATTCTGTTTATATTTTACTATGGATTGCACCTCTCTGAATAAATTACACTTGTGCACATCCTTTTTCCCATCCATATCAGATTAATTTCCTACTTCATGGGTACAGAGCATACCTGTTCCAGAAGTAGTGCAGTGCCCCACAAGTGTGCTTTGTTTTCATCTCAGAGCACATCCGTTCATTCTTGGCAGTTGCTTTCCACTTAGTTTCTATGTTGTTTTTCCCATACACTGTCCTCTCCACCTTTGCAATGTGGGATTCTAGCTTTGTGTGAGAGGAGGTAGGACCATATTGGAAAGTTCAAATTTTCTTGCACTGAAAATGTATTTTCAATAGGTACTTACCTCTCTCACACACACTTCCCACAGCTGGTATTCTTATTTTGAGCCTAACAGTTCTTGAAAGTGAAAGTTGAGCAAGAATAGCAAAGGGACCTAGTTGTGACACTGTAGGTGGCACAATAGTCTTGGTATGAGAGTAGTCACATGATATGTACATGTTCAGAAATGGGGTATATAGACTGGTGCACTGATCTTAAAAAATCTTTAGCAATGCTTAGAGGGCAGAAGAAGATTGAGATAACTTTATGTGAGAGGAGGTAAGTATCTATTAGAAATAAATTTTCTGTGTAAGAAAAATTTTAACGTTCCAACATATACTGCATGTGTAACATTCATGATATTTATTGAGACCTTACAAGTACTTGGCTATGGTTACTTGACAAATTAGCTCTTTTGTTACTAGATACAACCATTGAAGCATTTAGGATATCTTAGCCTATTTTCTGATAATATTTGACCAAAATATAATCTTATATGATAGACCCATATGTTACAAAAAATTCTCTTATTCTGTAGTTAAGAATTATTTTATGGTCATTGTTTCAAGAATCTGCACATTTGGAATTTTTCTGACTTGTTTTTTTTCATGTAATGTTTTAGCACATAGAATTTTTAGAGTTCCAGGCCTAAAAAGTTGTAATTTGTCTTTTAACTTAAAAAAAATAAAGTTTTGCAGATGTATTTGGTACTTTTAAAGTGGATTAACTAGCAGTATAGTTTCTTCACATTTTAAGTTTTAATGTGTGAGTAAAATAATCTTATTCTTTCTTTCTTTTTTTTTTGTTTAGGCAAGCTTCTCTCGCTCTCCAATTTCTGACATATTTGGTGGTCAGATGCGGTCAGTTCTTACAGCAGGAAATGAGTCCTCAGCTTTTCTACAACCATTTTTTACACTACAGCTTGATATACAGGTGCATATTTATATCTGTAGAATAATCTTTGTTGTTATTTCTTGGTTTCTAAAGAATTCTTAATTAATAATAATAATAAATAATATATACCAAATGGAATATTCATGAATAAATGTTTGTTGTTAACCTGAAAAAAAGAAAATTTGAAGTTCTGTTTTGTAATGAACAGTTTTAGTTGTGTGGCTAGTAGGTTAGGACGGGTGATTATATCATTCTATTACCTGATAGATGAAGAATGATATTTTAAAGTAATATTTAATTTAGCCAGTATTGTTGTCATCATGAGCATAGTTTATGTTACAAGTTGTGACAGTAATTTGTTACCATCTTTCATTGTAGCAATCAAGCATCTAGTAGGAATTTAATGAAATTTGTGGATGAAAGTAACATCCCTTTTGTTGTGAAAATTTTTATATGGATTGAACATTATTAATTTTCGTTGGACTGAAGGGGATGGTTATTATTTTAAATAAACTTCATTTGTATAGTCAGAACAGGTTGACTCTGTGCTTGCAGCATTAGAACATCTTACAAGCAAGGAACCTGTTCAGGGTTATACTTGTGCTAAAACAAAACAAGAGGTGAGCTTCTGGTACTTTTCTAATCAGCTGTGTTTAAACAAAGAAATTCAGCCTATTATGAAATATATATATGTGTGTATATATATCATTAGAGAATTTAAAATGTTGTTAAAGCTAGTTAGGTAATTAAAAAATATCCTGCTTTTTTATTACTGTATGTTTTAGGTAGAAACTTGACTTAACTTTTATGTGTTTATCAATTAACACTACAAATTACATCATTTAAAGGAAAAACCTACACACAAATTGTATGTAATGTTACAATTTTATGAAATGGTAAATTATTTATAACTTTCTGTTTTATTAATAAAACATGCACTTAACAGTGAGAGCACATTTTATAATCTTAATTAGGAAAACTATATTTGTTGTATAAAATTGGAAGTGATGTAAAAATTGATTAAAACTTGATAAAAGTTATATAAATACAACCTCAAATCCTGGGAAGAACGTAACATGAAAACAGCAACATTCTTAGAAATATCTATCACCATCAGGGGTTTTTGTAGCCATAAGTTAAATGTTACTTAATTTTAACTATTTGAAACATAATGTTTATAATATATACATAATAATGTAATGTTTGATTTTTCAGGTATTATTGCCAATATAATCAAGTTAAAACACTATTATTGTATGTAGAAACAGAGTTTTACACAAGAACTCTTTCAAATTCTCTTTAGGTTGAAGCATCGAGAAGAATCACTTTAGAGGAACTCCCTTTGGTCCTAGTTCTTCATTTTAAAAGATTTGTTTATGATAAGGATGGAGGTTCCAAGAAAGTAGTCAAATGTACAGAATACTCAGTCACGTTAGAGCTGTCAAGAGGTAAGCAGAGTAAACAAAGAGATTTTTGATAGTCGTGATACACTTACTAATGTGCTGTTACTTGGAAATATCTGTTTGTTTTATGTTATATGTATTTATAGAGGAACATCTTTCATGATTCCATCTAAGCCCGTTTTGATCTCAAGAAAAAGAATTTATTTCCATGTTCAGGAACCTTGAAAATTCCTAATTTAAAAGTAGATTATTTTTAAACATATTACTTTTAACTAAAAACATAGTTCTGAATCTTTTTTCTAAACTTGTTTGGTTCTTTGATTTTGTTGATTTGTAAGCAAGTATATACCATTTCTTTTCTAAATTAGATTGTTTGTTTTTTTCCCAGTTGTCGAATTCTTCAGTTATGCTAAGTAGATCTAATGTTGTGCAAAACTAAGTTCTTTTTTTTACTTTTCATGAAAAGTAACTTGTCAAAGGCCTCAATAATTGAGCCAAGAACTTTTAAAATAAAGTATAAGAAATACTTAGAAAAATTGATTGAAATATATTTTTATTTAATAATTACAAACCAGTTAGTTAAAATGTATCTTATTCTGTACAGTTCATGGTTTTGTGGGTCTGGAAAGACCTTGAAAAAAATCTAAATATCAAACATCCTGTAAACGTTTTGGAAGCTAAAATTCCTTCATGAAAATATCTTCAGCCAGAAATTTTAAATATGAGCAAGTAAAACATTTCTATTTTAGATGAATCTTTTAAATCTTGTCTTTCATGACTGCCATCTTATCTTCTTAGTGCAGCATGTTAAATTTAACAAGGCTGTTGTGGCTGCTTTCTCTGTGGTTGTGTGACCACTAATGGCTGACCAAGCATCCAATAATGAAATGTTTAATTATTGAACTACATTTTATAAAACTTTCAACATCTTACTGGACACCTTTATGATTAATATGTAGGGATAGGTAGTGAAGGAAGGTGTGCACTGTGTTGTGTTATTAATCTTGAGACAGCTATTGCCCGAATATCAGTTTTAGAGTGACATAACTGTATTTCATAAATTGAATACTTAGAAGTTTTTGTTCTCCAGGCAGGCATTAAGCATAGATAATCAAGTAATTAACTGATTATCTGTGAGAAAATAACATTTTTTTTTAATTTTTTATGTTAAGCAACTAGTATTTGATGATTATTAACTTATGAAGTTAGTGTAGGTAATTTAATTGTTGTGTTACTTTGAGCTTGAACAAAAATTGCTAAGAATTTTCTAAACCTCAGCATTTCTTTAACATATCTGTAGTTTTAGCCATTTTAATTGTTTAGAAACTACTGAAACAATACTATACAATGATAATAACAGTTATACCCAACAGCTCTAGATATGTTACATTTTAATTAATAAAATAGTAACAGTCCAAGTCTGAACATCAAATAATAACAGGGAGCTTTCTATTACATGTTACAAAATATGTTTTGTTGTTTCATCAAATTTGTTATTTAAAACTGACTTCCTTACAGAGCATCAAATGTTAGAGCAAGTGTACTATATATATATATATGTATATAGTGTAATAAAATATGCATGTCTTAACTAGCTGTAAAGTGTTCACTTTTCTTTCAAACTATGAAGCACTCATTGGATTATTTAATTAACTTGCCAAAAGTTAGATACATAGTGGTATGAAGGATGGAGAAACATTTTGCCAGTTTTAGTTAGGGCAAAGCAGTTCCATGTGGGTATAGACTTGTACAGTTCAAAAACTTCTATTTTAATTGCACAATGAAGACAATATTTAGTTATCTATTTGCATGCTTTTTTATATTGCATTTTTTGTTTTTATTTTTAGTATCATTACTGTAAACATTTTATAGAAGACTCTATGCTCATTTATTTAGTATTTTTAATAAGAAGTTGAAAAACTAGTTATTTCAATGCTTTTATGTAACCTTGTTCAGGTCAGTACTCATCTTTCAGGTTTCAAGTGTACACATCTATATCAAATTTAAAAATTCAGTTAGAAATAATAATTATAAATATTTAAACAATATTTTATTTGTAACACTTATTTACAGATCTCACAGAGAAAAATGAATAAATGTTCAAACTTGTATTTCTGCACAACTTACAGGAGTTTCTCTTATAAACAAAACAGTATTTTCTAGAATTTTTTGTCCATCCTAAAAAATATATATATATTTGCTAAGAAGATATCATCATTTTATTCTCAAGAGTTTGTTTCTTAGATCTTTTTTCTGCTTTTTCTCTAATTTTGTTAGTATAGTCTCTTGTTCCCAACCTTTTATTACTTTACAGCATGTGATATGAACAACTACTAATGAAGCTAAGCTTTGAAAATAGCTACAGGCAAAGTTTAAGTACTGTTGAATAGAGTATATTGTAAACTATTTAAGTCGATGTAGAGAGAATAATGCTTTTGAGAAGTAATTCATGATTTCATAAGACATTTACCAAAAACCTATTTCTTGCAGAGAACAATGGAATCTAATGAGAAGTTTAGAAGACTTAGGAACAAACCACATATCTTGGAAATTTTATTAGTTTTTTTAGACATTCTTTTCATTCCTGAAAATGTTCATAGTAAATTATATTTGTTTGTAAGCTACAGAAATTCTTTTGTATAACTTCAGGTAAGTCTAGTTAGGTTGAAAATGGGGTAGTTGATGCACAATATTCTGCTAACTCGTTTTTTTATTCAGTGAATGTTATTGATAAGTTTATCACATTCAAACAATTCACATAGGTAACAGAACTTATAATTTATTGAAAATAAAGTATCTGTATCAGATAGAAATGGATTTTTACCAAGAATATCATTAACAAAAATACTGTTACTGTTTTGAAAGGTCAGGTTCTAGGTTACTGATAAATATTTTTCCATTTCTCTGGGCCCCCCAGTGGCACAGCGGTATTTCTGCGGACTTACAACGCTTGAAACCGGGTTTCGATACCCGTGGTGGGCAGAGCACAGATAGCCCTTGTGTAGCATTGTGCATAATTAAAAACAAACAAACCATTTCTCTGGTGTTTTTATGGTTTATAGCCACGAATGGTGTCTACTGTAATTGGCAAAGTAAAGTATTGATTGGATATATAAAATGGAACTTTCTGGTCAACTTTAAAAAAATGAAATTCTCGAATAAGAGGAAGTATTTTTAATCTTTTTTTTCAAAACAGTATCACAAAATTTAAATCAGGTGATAAGGCAGGTGTGTGTTTTTGAGCCCTGGAAAATAGATAAAACTACCTTCAAAAGTCTTTGGAAAGTTCTAGATTTTTGTGCTTTGGAGATTTAAAAACTCTTTATAAGTTCCTTATTATTAACATGTTTTATTCTACTCTAGAGCATTATTTCAGTTCCATTAAAATCACAAGGGTATAAATGTCTTTCTTCATTAATTTCACAGCCTTGTAGCTTTTAGGACATTCTCTTAATGAACAAAAAAACGTGATAAAATTAGATAACTTTACAGAAGTATTGACAGATGTATAGGTACAAAATGTAAATGAAAGTTGAAAGTTCATAGAAGTTATCAAAAGTTTTGTTAAAAGGAAAAATAAAATAGAACTCTCCAGTTTGCATTACAGACTTTAAACACCCTTAATGTTTTAGAAGTTTTATTCCAACATCAGTTGTTTGGTTTTATTCTGTTTTTTATAGACCTATTGTCTCAAGAAGTACGAAGCAAATACAGCCATAAATCACTCCGCTCTTACAAACTGTTTGCAGGTGGGTTTGATTTTTGATTTATTAGCTGTATGCAAACCCTTGTGTTTATAATAATTCTAAAGTCCTAAACTATCTTCCCATGTATTTTTATTGATTAACAAAGGATTTGTGAAATTTATCATTTGAACTGAAACAGTTTCAAATATTTATACACAGTTTAACAACTTGTAAGTACAATCTTTTATCTGTCCATTCCATACTTTCTGGAACATTATTAAATCATATCAGATGATATATTCTCTCTCACAAACTATTCTTTGATAAAATGATAAGTTTTGAGTTATCAGAATGACACCTGATACTTCAACTGTCACAAGCACTTGCGGCACAAAGATAATGGCACTTTAACAGGTGTTTTAGTTAAAGGTTTTTTTTTGAATTTTTTAAATATTTAATTTTATGAAAAATTAAATAGTATCTAATCAATGTTAGTTATATGGAAACTGAAGTAATAGAAAGAAACTTCCTGGTTCTTCACAGTGCTGTTAGTGCAAAGTGTCAAAATTTAGGAAAGATTTTGATATACAGTTGTAGAGATGAACACTAAAGTGTTCTTTTTCTCTTAATTGTGTAATGGTATTCAATTTACTTATTTTTACTGAACATTGCTATATATATACACATATTTAGAGTAACCCTACCTTTTGTTTTAACTCCAATAGTGGTATATCATGAAGGAAAGGAAGCAGTCAAGGGCCATTATATAACAGATGTATATCATGCTGGTAGTGGTGGATGGCTACGCTGTGATGACCGCACCATAACTCCAATTACAGAGACACAGCTTCTTCGTTACAGTCCACCCAGAGTTCCTTACCTTCTCTTTTATCGACGTCTAGACACCATACAGCCTGGTGTCTTGTTGAAATGAAACGTTCTTTGTTTCTGTCTTCCTGTCTGTAGTCCATACTGTACTGGTAAAGTTTATTTAATATGAAGCCATAGAAAATTTATGTTGTTGCAGTTTATCTTTGTGTGTATGTGGTTGTGCAGCAGTTGTTGTTGTTTGTTTACATGTCATCAAGCTTCAGAACATTACTAGCAATTCCTTGAATGATATTGCCATTTAGGTGACTGGTGGTGGTTTTGTACATGTTAGAAAAATTTTGACAAACAGTGTTTTACATGATCTGAAGTACAATTCTATTCTCCATTTCTGTCTTCATAACTAGGCCTACATAAGAAAAATGGCATCAGAGAAGACAAAACTGCAAGTGTTTGAAGCTCATTTTACCAAGTGTTAAAAGTTCATATAAAAGACTAGCCTGTAATGGTCGTGTAAAGTTATATGCATATTTAATAACATACTGTACATGAATAGGCATTGATAGAACTGAGTTCAGTTGTTTTTAATTTGTAAGCATGTGAGGTACGGTTTGTTCATATTTAACATTTGTAACTCTTTCTCCTTCTGTACCAAAATGCTTATTTACTGTTTAGCTTATATTCAGAAAGGAGTATAACATACCTTTTTGTGTCTTACTGTATTCAAAGATTCTGAAGATGTTTACAAAAGGAAAAGAAATGGGTGTATTAGTTTCATTGAAAATGCTGATTATATTTATCTATTCAAAACAATATAACAATTTCAAGTAATTCCTCTTTAAAATGATTGTGCTTTTTCTTAGTTTGAAAAAGTTTCTGATCAACCCATGTTGAGATGAACATAAAAAAATCAACCTTTTGCTATGCGATTATCATTAACTTTGATTGGATTATTTATTTCATTTAAAAAAAAAGAACTTTTTACATAATTAATGAGTTGTTCAATGCTGTAGAAATAATTTTCTTTCTTTGAGCAGGCTAGAAGTATATTGACAGCTGTATTTTTAATGAATCACTACCGCTCTGGACATGAAGGAAAATAACTACCATTTTTTCATTTTCCTCATAATAACTGCAATACACAATAATTTAGACATATCCTGATCATTGCATTATTACCTAAATGTTCTAGCTCTTTATAAGTTTGATATTGTAAAATTGTGTAATAATTTCACTTATTTTTTACTGCAGCTATTACTAATGATTTTTACTGTTGCTATGTCTACATCATGTTGAGAAACCTATGGTTGTTTTTAATCATTCACTTGTTTATCATTCAAGTTTATGTTGTGGGATCTTTTTTATTACCTTAAAAATATCTTTTGCAAACTTCCTTTGTACTACAGGATATATGTGCTATAAAATGTAAAATAAACATCAGTTCTTAGGCACAATACATTTGGATATATTCCACAGAAGGAGCTCTATATAATAAGTACTTACATTGAGGTTACAATTGCTTTTAAAACATTTAACTTGAAAAATATGGAATTTATAAAGTAACATAAATAATTTCTCATCTGTAGGTGCATTACTGTTTCTAAAATGAAATTTCATCAGCAAAATGCTTACTTATTTTTAAAAGAATTTCAATCAAAAATTGATCTTCTTCAGACGTGAAAGTGAAATACTACTTTTTAAGAATATTATATAATCTTTGTGAGAACAATGGTATGTGTTGTGACTATACAAATGTAAAACATTAAACAAATGCAAATATATCTCTTGTGCTCTACCTAAATGAATACCCTACCTCTTAGGTGTCACTGGCAGATGTCAAATGCTCAACAGCTAGTACTATAACTTTGTTATAACATAGTTAATTTTTTTCACCTGTGATATTTTTAAAGAGGTGGTGCAGATCATTATTAGGTCAGTGTAATATGGTTTTTGTCATGAAACATTTTTGAATTGAATTACCACAGACACATAAAACTTGTTACTCTATTCTAAATGAACCAGTAGCTACCATTCAAAACTTCCAGTCTTTGTATTTTATTTTTGTGTCTATAAAACATTTGAACAGGTTTCTACAAAAAAGTCATATTAATCATTAACAAAACTACATGGGCAAAATTACTTTTGTGGTTTCAACTGTTCATTGAGCCATAAAACAAAACATTTTTCTTAGTTGGATTTTTTTTTATTTTGTCTGGAAACAAAATATTCTAATATTTAATTACATTAACCAAATTTGAAATATCACTATAGCAAGTTATTTCTAAAGGAATAGTTGTAGCAAGCATGTGTAACATTGTGCTCTGCAAGTTTTATTTATGTGTTAACTGCTAGCTGCAGACTCGATTATATAAGTATTTCTACTTCTTGAAATAGTGTGGTTCTTTGTTGTTTCTGATTTTACTTTTTACATGTTATATATTTAGTTTTCTTGGATTTTCACACATTTTATTGTATCTTGTCTTTTGATGATGAACTGTATTATAACATATTTTACTGCAAATATGATTGCTGTTTTTTGTTTCTCAATTAAAAGCAGAAAGCAAATAGAAAGAAATGAATTATAGATTACTCACATCTGTAAATTTATACTTGACATTGTGAAGTGTAAAATTTTCAAAAACTCAAACAAATTGAGAATTGAAATTCCAATACTTAACTTTTCAAAGGCTTTAAGCGTTATTATTTAAAAGGTTTTTATAATATGATTTTCAAGTAAAATATGCACTTATGATTTCAATATATTGGAAGGAAAAAGTAGCACCACACTTGTTTAAAGTAGCTTAATTTTGACCTGTTACCAAAGAACCCTTTGTGGTATATGGAAGTCTAAACACCACAATACGCATATTTCAAATACTTAAACTAAGTTGATGACAACAGTTTAAAGATTATTCTAAAAACTGAAAGACAAAACATAAACCAGCTTAAATGATGTTTAAAGCAGTGAAAATAAATTTTAAACAATGTGACATATTTCTGTCATATTGCTTATTTTTCCCTCATTGTTGGTTGCAATCTTCGTTATTTACGACGTGAGTTGGAAACCTGTGCCTTTGGAAGCTGTTTTTATCTGGCATTGTTGTGGGTGTAGGTTTTCTTTAGAGAATTTTTAATGATGTGTTTGTGGAGAATTTTGGGGTTCAAATCATTGAAATAAAAATGTTTCCAAAATAGTACCAAATTGCTATATTTATTGTATTTATTCATCACTCAAGTTATTAAAGAAAATGTTAATAAATACAAGATGTTACTCTAATCTCATGTGGAACACCTAATGCTCAAGGACTTCGTCAAATTACCATAATGATGTATTTTTTCGACTAACTGAGAGACTTCATTTACGTTGTACTGAAAATGAATTGAATTTATACAAGAATTTTGTAAGATTCTTCAGCATAAAAATAAGAAAATCTAATCTGATGTTTGAATATGCATATAGAACTGAAAACTTGCGAAACCTCTTAAGGTAATTTATCGATGCAAGATCTTATAGATAGCGTCTATTTGTAAAATCAACTGACCAATGCGTAACATGAGGATATCTAGTTCATTAAAAGAAATTCGCATGCAATATGATTGTTGTGAGTTATAATGGGGCATTTGATTTTTACAGAAATTTAAACTTATTTTGAAAGTTAAGATGTCTGGAACACTTGATGTAATGTTCATAAACTGTAGTACGATAGTAAAAAGTTAGTATAAGTATTTGATAATATTAGTCAAGGAATTAGGGTGCTTCAGTGACTCATTTACAGGCAATCTTAGAAATTAAATTCATTTTTTTATCGTTGGCTCTGCTTTCTCCGTTCAGTGTGATTCTGCGTGTGACACAAAGACAAACTCTCTCAATCTTAAGTTTGATCCAGTTGACATAATGTAAGAATTAAATGTTTTGTAGAGGTCTTTAAACATCCACTTTGGATTTGTAAATGAGCGTTTAAGTTTTCAACAAAAAATTAATTTCTGGTTACAGTAGGAGTGAAAATCTACATGTGTTGTTATAGTATGTTATTTAATATTATAAGTAGGTGGTACTTATTCGGAAAATTTGAAATTCAAAAACATTGTTGTAAAAGGACGTAAAGATTACTTTGTTTTCTATTTATGGTCTACTTGCCTGTACATAATGAAGAATTGTGGGTGTTTTTAAGGGGTTAAAGGTGCTACTTAAACGGGAAACAAGTTTGTCGTGACGAAACAACTGGAACTGGTAGTCTGAGACACATTTGTTGCGTTTGATATTTGGACCCTTATTAACATATCTTCTCTGCAAAACATTTAGTCCTTGTGATCTCCCTCCCTCTTTTGATTCAATTTAACTTATTCTAGTAATTATGTCTGGAATGGAATAAAAACAATCAACGTAAACTTATTAACCTGTTTTAATTTTAAAGTTATATCGTAAAGTTATATGCCCCCAGTGGCTCAGCAGTAAGTCCGAAGGCTTATAATGCTAAAAACTGGGTTTCGATACCCGTGGTGCGAAGAGTACAAATAGTCCATTGTGTAGCTTTGCGCTTACCAACAAACCAACTTAAGATTATGTAATAAGTTTTATGTAAATTACTCCAAACAGTCGCAGGTAAAGCTTAAAATCGAATCTTTAACAAAATCTCGTTTTAGTTATGTTTGCTACTTTAAAGTTGTTTTAGATTTTAGAACAAAAACTTACTTATTAAAGCATTTTTTTTTCGAGTGACAAACATTAAACCGCTATTTATATATGCCTTGCAGTCGCTGAATATGTTATCACATAAGGCCTTCCACTTGTTTGATATGTTTGTTTTGAATTTCGCGCAAAGCTACACGAGGGCTATCTGCGTTAGTCGTCCTTAATTTAGCAGTGTAAGACTAGAGGGAAGGCAGCTAGTCACCACCGCCAACTCTTGGGCTACTCTTTTTACCAACGAATAGTAGGATTGACCGTCACATTATAACGTCTCCACGGCTGAAAGAGCGAGCATGTTTGGTGGGACGGGGATTCGAACCCGTAGATTGCGAGTCGAGTGTCCTAACCAAATGGTTGATATTATGTAAATTTTAGACATTGAGTTAAATGAATGGAGGGGAGGGACAGCAATAATGAACTACCAGTGGCTCATTGGTAAGTCTGAAGGCTTATAACGCCCAGAGCCAGGTTTCAATATATGGTGAGCACAGCTTAACAACAAGGCTTTGTTTTATATATTTAGTTTTATTAGCGTCGAAAAGAAAACAAACAGTAAACGATTTTATTATTGCTTCTGGGCAATTGTTATCGGTGAAATAGATTGATTCATTTAATCTCAATTATTCAGACATAAATAAACTAATATTCGTATTAATTTCGTTCGATATATCTGTATGATCTCTAGCGCCATCTATCAATTTGTTAGTGAATATTATTGACAGAGAAAAGTTCTACATGACAGCAGCGTCAATAAATAATAACTTCCGATCAGAGTAAGCTATAACTTCAGAGTGAAACATAAAATCAATATAGCTAACTAAATATGCTTTTCTTACGCTTCTACTTATGAAAATTATAATACATTGTTTGAACGGTTAGATACCTTCGTTATTAATATTTTTCAAGCATTAACCAAATAATTGCTTATGACATTCGGCCAGCTTAGGAGATTTATGTTAGTTCTAAATATACATTCTAAGCTGACAATACAAAATATTTTTATAATAAAAGTATAAAAATAAATGACAAGTGAAAATAAAAAGTAATTACATTTGATACACTGACTAGTGTAACCAATGCTATTAATGAAGGCAAGAATAAATAAAATAGTATACCACAAACACCTGTGTTTGTTTTTAACCATGGTCGTTGATGTATAATTGTTTGAAATATTTCTTTCTCTAACATCGCCATTTGCTAAAGGAAACGTATTACTGCACACAAACTATGTAATTTAATTTTACTGACTATGTATTTTATTCCTTCAAATACCACATTTTTACTCCAGCGCATTCATGTTATTGCCTGAACATTACCTTTAAACTTTA